GAGCGTCCGGATATGCTCCGGGTAATATTTTACGTGCAATATGTCTGTCTCGCGATGCAATCGACCACGATGAATTTTTCAGGACGCTTTAGACATTTCCGACACTATCGTAAGCCTCGTTTTCGTGCAAAAAATTACCATAATTCGCTAATGCATGACGCGTAATTCTATGATTGCAATTTCAGGTGTATTCAGATAGTTTCTCGATTTTAATAAAAGCCACGTTCCGTTTTTCCATACGAAATTATATCTCAACGTAAATACACATAATATTATATTTACAGCACAAAAAATAACGACTTTATCAGAAGAGTTAAAAAATGAACAAATTTCAATAATATTAATTTTTTTTAAATGCATTTTTTTGGTTAAATGTGTTTTATCATTATTTTATTTTATATATAATTTGATGAAAAATCATTTATTTTCAATCGCTTATAACTTGAAACTCTATCATTTTTAACCGAGAAAAACTTGATTTAGTTTTATTAAAAAATAAAAATTCCTGAATTTTATCTTGAAATCACAGCGTATATTTCGTTATTGGCAAACATTTTATCAAAATTTCGATTCTTTATTTGAGTAAAAGAAATTTATTTACTATAATTGCTTTACGTCAATTAATTTTAATTACGCAATTTGAATTTCTGAAAGTTTCGTTTTATCTCATTCAATATTGAAACAAGGATAGAACTTCAAGAGAAATTTAGGAGTAATTTTTATAAAATTAACTTTTTGAGGACAAGAGCTTTCCAACAAAGTAACTTATGGAAGATCTGGCTTTTAGAAGTTTTCGGAGTTGTTGAAAATTAGATTATAATACGAGAATTCTAAATTTCAAAAAATAATTTTATTATCATGAAACTTGATTTTGGGATGGTTCTTAGTTTCTCCGAGTTTGACAAAATCGAATATCAAAAGGAAAATCTTCATGAAGAAGAATTTAGTGTTGCAGGGTTCATAATTAGTTTAAAAATCAATTTAGAAATTAATAATGTAACTGTAATTTTACGTATCACTGACGATCTTCAAATAAATCAAAACTAAAAATTTGATATTACTTCGTCATAAAAAATTCTCTAAAATTATTTTTTTAAATCCTGTCCGTCATATTGCAACCATTTTGAATTTATTTTTTACCACAAATTCGATTAAAACATTACTATATATCAAATTACTCCAGACCAGTTTCATAAGAATTGAGCGAGCAGTTTATAAAGTAAAAGAGAATGACTCCAAACGGGGTTGCCGGTCTACGAAAGATTACGGGATTATTTTGATACGAAGAAACGTGATCACGTCACGCAAGTGCCACGTATATTATATTCCACGTGTACAATGTCACTATCGTACGAATTACGTGCGCCCACATGATGGATACAACACTTGCGAATGCGAATAGCAAGCGATAGCTGCGGTTTAATTAAAACATGCTGCATTGCCGTGCACACACAAAATTGTTTTGTGTCAGATATGAAAATAAAAGCGAAACGATACGGCTCTTCTTCGTTATAACGTAACGTGCGACAGTAGATAAAAAAACATTAGTAATTCACCGCGCTTGTTTTTCGCATTCAGAACTCTGCTTGCAATTACTGATCAATCAAAAGAATAAGAGACTGTGTTTGGAAAACGCGCTATCAACGCTATTGTGTCATTTTATCGTTCATTAGACGTAAAACAAGAATTGAACAATGTAATAGCACTGGTAACAACTTCCTCAAACGCAGAGCCATAATAAAAAAATATTATTTATAACCTATGTAATATAATATAATTTATATAATTTATAATGATATAATTTATATTTATATTTATGTTTACCCATGGTCTGCACGATTTTTCAGACACTTCTGACAGTTAAAAAACAAAAAGTTGAAATGTAAAGAATATTCATCTATTTTATACAAACTACTACATGCGATAAAAAAATTTTACAAAATTTGTTTTTATAAAAAATCAAAGTTATCTTAAATTCAAAACAGCACTATACAATTTTTTTCCATGATATTATACGAATCTTCAAGATGAATTATTATCTAAATGTCACTTTTATTGATGTTTTATTAAATTTATTGCATATTTTATTAAAAGATTATGTTCTATGTCTAGTCAGAGATTGTAAATACTTGTACAAGTTGTTATAAATAATGCTGCATATTTGATATTAAGTATCAATAAAATCAATAAAACATCGATAAACATTTCCATAGTAATTTGAATTCGTTTTGAAGAACCCTACAACAGCATGGAAAAAAATTGTACAGTGCTATTTAAAAAATTTAAGATGCCTTTAATTTTTTATGAAAAAAACATTTTTTTAATTTTTTATCGCATGTTGTAGCCTGTATAAAAAAGATGAATATTCACATTTCAACTTTTTTTTTAACTGTCGAAAGTGTCTGAAAAATCATGCGGACCGTTATACGCTAAACATCATGTATTTTAAGAATAAGTAAAATTTTCTGTATTATTCAAGTCATTTTAAACGTAGTTGTATAATAGATTTTTTCGTATATATTTTTTAATATTTAGTAATGCTAAACAATTTTATATCTTTAAGATATTACTAATACCATTGATACAATACAGTTTCTTTTGTCTCGTGATCGTATTTCTGTATTTCTTTCAAGCATTTTTAGTTTTATTATAATAATACGCGTGTGGTGTAGTGCATTATACATAAAAATATTATAATTTTATACAAATAAAAATGTTTCTCTTTTCATTAATTTTATTTTCTCAAACATCTTTGCCACGAATCAATCAACTTAATCTGATTAAAGTCTGTACACCTAATATAAATACAGAAACATAAAGATATTTTCATAAATATAAATAGAAAGATTTTAAAGAAATAGGAAATCAGAATTGCACCGTAAACGACGAAGCCAGGCAAACGAAACCAAACAAATCTCGAATACACGATTTTTGATGACAAGAAATACGAATTCAAATTTAATAAAAACGAATGCATTTGATGGATTTCTACTTTTAGTTTGATGACTTCAAATTCACTTACTTTCATCTTTTATTTGAAATAAAAATCAACGCGATAAAAATGCGAAATTTTGTGCAATTATTTATTGTCCATTCGAAAGACAACCATATAATATTCAGCCAATTAATTTCTTCTTATTGAAGATGTTTGATATACATATAACCTTTAGATAATAATTTGTTTTTGAATGTATTAAATTCTGACTTCTCTGTACCGGAAATTCGTCTCAATTTTACGCGCGTGTGATTTAAACATTTCTCTGGTATATAAGATTTTCTTGTAAATTACGTGCTAGAATGATATTTAATTGTGTTTTACAGTCACAAATACAGATACGAAACAGCTGCAAAGTTCTGAATTCTGTCTCTTTGGTAAATCAATTGACAGTCAGATAGTTTCTCTCTTGTCGCCGGATAGAAAGACAAGAGTAGAAACAAACGGAAATGAGAAAATTACATGCGCGTTGCTATTTGCGAAACTGCTAATGAATCTCATTAACCTTTTTATTACTCTATATTCCTCTATCTACATTGATTTGGATGTACGTTAAATGAAACTCAACTGTGATATGCAATCATGTTAAATCTTATCTATTGTATGATATAAATGGATGAATGAATGTTTTCATTTAAATTTTAAATGATAGAGAAAAGCCCCCTATTATGATATAGGCACCTAATATGATATAGCGGTGTTTCCACTAAACTATTAGGTGTTGGAATTAATTCGTAGCGTTTTTAATGAAAAAATGTTATTTATTTCACATGAGCATTAAAAAATACATTAATGAAAGTACTTCCCATCACTTGTAAAACGCTACGAATTAATTCCAACACCTAATAATAAACACTATTGGTTCCATCATGAATTTATTGTTCTTGGATTGAAAACTATTTAATGGAAAATTCATTATTAGATCATACTTGTAGTTGTTGCAAAAAAATATTTTAGAATTTGGATGTCTTCAAGTTTCAATTGAGTCACAATTGAGGTGAGCTTTTAAACCTTGTTTATTAATAATATTAAATATATTATTTAATAAGTAAATATTTGACAATAAATTCTTCATGTGATGATAGAGTAAGATCGTACTAATAGAAAAATACGTGATATATTGAATTGCTTAATTACAAAGTTAGATTTGATGATCGTAAAATCATAAGGGTAGAAATCGTAATATGAGATATCCAGAATATTTCTAATACAAAAAACCTTTGCTTCTATGTCATAGTGAAAATCGTTGCTAAAATATAAACATTATTGTACAACAATAAAAACGGTAATCGGAATAAACATCGAGTGCCTGTTTCTGCGATGCTTGATTCCAATTACTTGAAGACTATCATCTAGGTACAGAGCATCTCATACTGATTTTGTACGCACACTGTATTTTAGAAACATTAAATAAAGTTTTTTAATTGCAATATTGATGTACTTTATGTTTTATTATCAATTTCTCGGAACATCTCATATTAGGAGCCATTTTTTGGCTTTGTAATTTGCTCACTTTTTACAATTCTTCAATTTATAAAAAAAGTAAAATTTGAATTAAATTTTACATAATGTTATTTTAAAGCTTTCTAAATTCCCTTTAAAATGAACGAGTATTCTAGCATTTACCCAAAATGAACTCGGTATTTCATAATAGGAGCCTTTCCTCTATCAATACTGTAAATACATGAATTATTACTGAATTATTACTGTATAAATTATTTCGAAGAAAAACCTTTGAATGTTACATGTGAATTTTACATTAGAAAAATAGTATCATGGAATAGCCACAAAAAAATTTATAAGATTGGAAATGTTTCGATCATGTATCAGTTTTCGATCGATTTTAACTATAAAGCATTTTTCTTCGTATATCTTTTTTATCTCATTTGTGAATCGTAAACAACTTTTTTATATATTTAAAACTTAATTTGATTGCAATATTATTCTAATAAATTACAAAATAAATTACAAGATAAATTGTCCTGATCAAAGATTATTATTTTAGACAGTATCGGTGAGCATCAGCATTTTGACGTTGACTTTCATATCGATCGACCGGTGGTACGCTATATGTTTCCCATTGAGATTCAAATCCACGACAGCCCGAGCAAAAACCGCTATCATTGTGATCTGGTTGATATCATTGCTTTTTGGTAAGCATATATTATCATGCGTAAATATTTTTAATAACTGAAAAATTATTTTAATTATTTTTTAAATGTATATAGCTAACAGAAAACTAATCTTATTATTGACATGTATATCAAGTGTTGTATTTTAATTCATCAATAAATATAATTTTAGTCTGCCTGGAAACAATGAAAAGTGAACGATACTGCTATTTATTTCGTACATGTAAAGTTTAATTCGCAAAAAGTTTTCCATTTTTAAGTTGGAAGTTTGTTATATGGATCAAATGTTCTTGCTTGAGAAATTTCATATGAAAATTACAGAACATGTTATTTACAAAAAATATTTACTATATTTACAGAATATTTACTATATGTTTACGTTATAACTTCTGACACTATAATAAAAAGTCTAATGGAAGATGCTATATATTTTATTTCGTAAAATTTGAATGTTATTTCTTAAATATTTAAACATTATTTAATTGTTAAGTGTTATAAATTTTATATTTAGGATTCAGTAATATAAAATCAATGTATTTGCCCCATTAATTTTTTCTTAGAGATTTCCCAAGAAAATTTGCTCGCAAGTGGAACACAAGTATAATATTATCAATATTCTACGTGTCTCTCTTGATTAGATATTCCAGAACTATTGGTGTTGCACACGGTGCCGTCGAACAGTCGAGTGCAGACTATATTATTCACGCAATGTGTCTGTGCGTGGAGTCAAGAAAGTCAAACTACTTTCACGATTGTCAAGCTGATCTTTTTGTATACGATGCCATTGCTTTTCATGAGCGTCGCGTACTGGCAGATTGTACGCGTTCTTTGGAAAAGCGATATTCCAGGACATAATTGTAAGGAAGATTCCATTTTAATAATTGTACCCATTAATTATCTAATCGATTTTAAATGGCACAATGCTATTTTTCATATTTATTATTTCATTTGATTTCGCTTCCTTTCATTGAGAACTTCTCTAAATAATAACAATCTATTGTACTCGAAACAGCTTAACCTTTCCACAAGTACCAATGTGGAACATATGTCTTGAGATTGAAAAATTCTCTTGAGAACATGAATCTCTAGTACGCTTGTAAAATTCTCCGGAGAACATGAATCCTATTGTAAATAGAAAAAGTAAAAAATTTATCTTTTTTCTTTTTTTTATCCTTTTCTTGTGTACCATTAGAACATATAAAATAAGTCATTTAACAGAGCATGAAATATCGGTTGTTTATATAACAGTTATGAAAAAGTATATAGAAAGAAATATTTGTTTCGATCAAACAGTAAAGAACAAGCCCTACGTAAAAATCTATCTAACATTCCATCGAAAATTATGAGGGAGAAATCTGATAATAATATTTTATTTACTGTACATATATCAATTTATATATATATATATATGTATATTTTCAAAATGATTCATTAAAAAGATCTACAAAGTTTCATATACGATAAATGAGATGTCTAAATAAAAATTTCCTTTCTAGATTCAATACTCAGATTTCATACTCGTCACTATCTATAATGATAATAAAACCAATTCATAACTGAAATTGAAACTATATCCCTAGATTATAATACAAGCTGCTTATTTTGCAATCCCCTTTTGAAATAAAACAGTCTGAATTATCCGAAAATGACTTGTCGATACGCGTCATGTGTTTCCAAACGAATTTTATAGAAAAAAATAAATTAAAACGAAATAAAATGTAATAACATAATATATAGTTATAGAATTAGAAATTTAATAGTTATAAATTAAAAAAATTTATATTGCATAAAGATTAATAAAGTAGATCAACTTATATGTTATACTTTAATGTTATATAATAGTCTTTATTTTACTTTTTTATTTCGAGCAAGAATTCTCAATAAATCTTTGTCAATTTGTTTCACTAAAAAAATTTATTTTAAAATTAATCAAAACACTGTTAAAAAATAAATACAATATTGACAACATTTACATTGAAAATAATTGCATGTACCGTATATTATTAAAATATTTAATTAAACTTCTAGACAGCTTCAATCGAATATTTCTTATCGAAACAAAAAGATAATCCTAGGAAAACGTCGTCTTTCATAACAAAATGCCGTACCTTATTTCGATTTGTTAAAAATAAAATCAATGAATTAATCAGTTTATAATAATTTTTAGTGTCTACCAGAATCTGTCGTTCAACTGAGATTCCATTGTCGGGAGGTGGAAACCCGGAGGGTCAACTAAGATCTCGACGGAAAGCGGCGAAGATGTTAGTCGCCGTAGTCATCACATTCGCGATATGTTTCTTTCCTGTACACTTGCTCTCTATTTTAAGGTGTGTCTCACGATATTGTGTTCTGCATAGCACATTATGGTAACAATGTTTAATATATTGCATGTAATTTTCGTTAATGCAGAAATATTTCAAATGTTGAAATCAAATACTTTATACTCATTAAACTTTGATATCACTGTCGAATGATCGACAGCACCTGACAAAGTGAAAACTGTATTAATATTATGTTAAGAATATTTTTATATAAAACGACAGACTTTAAACAGTAAACTCAGTAGGTGTAATATATTCCATTCCATCAATTTTATTAAATCTACAAAACGTTATCATTAAATTAAATGCTATATTACGAACGTTAAATTAAATTAAGCGTTAAAAATCAAAAGATAATTATCGCATCCGTTGCTTTTGAAACATTTTGAGTGTATTTAATCTCATGAAATTCTGTTTAAATCTGATACGAATAATTGTGACAAAAATGAGTGGAAATAAAATATATGTATGACAATCGAGAACTTATAACATTTCCAATTTTCTGGAACACGGATGTTTCACCAAGACTATTTCTCCAATATATCGCAAATTATTTTCGTGCCATACTTGGTTAGCCTTCCATGTTCTTTTATCGCAGATAATCTATACGAATCTTCTTCCAAAGTAATGTCATTTTTCACTTATAAATTGACAATTTAAAATCAATTTTATGGAGAAAATATTATTTTCGTTCCAGTTTTCAGTATGTATATTACCAATCTATTAAAATAAATCTATTAAATGCGAAACAAGTTCTTTTTTTACTTTCTATTCTTGATCGCTTATATAATAGCTTAATTCAATCTGATTTTTTTAATTAAAAAGTGATTTTAAATTAATCAAAAAATTTAATATATGAAAATTAGGGAAAAAAATCCCTAGTTGCAAAAAATTCTAAGAACAAAAAAGATGGCGTACCGCCATCAGCAGTGCCTGCATGTGGAAGCGACAAATTACCTCTGACCAAATCGATTACCCCCCAAATTTGGAAATCGCGGTACTTTGAGGAATGACTCAACCGTGCAGGCATGCAAATCTGTGATTTTAAAACAAAGTTGCATATGCGCAATCGGGAGTCTGGAAAATCAAGAAGCTTATCGGATGATCTGAAAGCTCGATAATTAATGATAACACAAACTGAGCAGATCTGCTACATAGTGATGATCTACGTAACGATCAATGCTTAGTTGTGCCATCCCACACACGCTTCCGAAAGTTATCGTCTTCTAATCGCTATATAAACAGAATCTGTCAATATCGGAGCGCATGCGAGAAATTAACGAATTATTTCTTTGATGTTTCGAATGACTTAAGCGACTCTACCGCGATCAAATATAACACATTTTTATGAAATATTTATTTAGACATAAAACATTCTATGTGTCGTTAATAAAAATGTCGCGATTATCTTCTAAAAACCGAACCGAAGAATAATCCTTCAAATAATGGCCATCTAGTGATAAATTCTCAAACTTCCGTTATACCAGAATGAAAAGATCTTATTCTTCTTATACAAAGAAAAGAAAAATAATATTAGGCATAAATGAGTTGAACTGAATGTTATTTCATTTTGAGAAATAAGAAAAAACAATAATAAAACTGAATGCAAAATTATTAAATGCATTAAATATAACAACATATCAATGCTGTCGTTTTGTATGTAAAAATAATCTGAACATAATAACGAAACAATCTTCGCTCATTATTTAATTTAATATTCGATATAAATAATTTATATTGTGTTATCACTTTATAATTAATATCACCTATATAAAACCTATAAATAAAATTTACATTTTGCCTTGTCTAATATTTAATATTTGCAATAATTTTGCGATATCTTTCATGACTGAGAAGGTATTTTCAAATCAATTTCTTTCGAACTATATCGAATTTGTTATATCGTTTTTGCTGTAAATTATTTTATTGTATTATTAACATTGATTTATAATTGTTTAATATCTAGTCTACTAATTAAGTGTTGAGAATTCGTTTCAGCTTATTAATTAACAATTTTATAAATCACAAAGAAAATTAATAATAATATCAATAAGAGCCAACACAATCAATTATATGTAATAAAACACATATATACGTTTTATTATATAACTAACTTGTGTTAGCTCTCATTAGCATTATTATTAATTTTTTTGTGATTTAATCTTTAGAGACTTTTCTTAAGTTCAATTTTGTTTCATTTTATAAACTTGATCTTGTCTAAGAAACTTTCTTCCGCCTGCATCCATACTGCGTACTGGAAAGGACTTCTTATTTTTCCATTTATATTACGTTATTATAAATATAAGATATATATTATCAATATAAATTTGTTTTAGATGTACTATGGCATTACCGTCGAATCAATGGACGATCGCCATTAGCCTAATTGCCCATTGGCTTTGTTACTTCAACAGCGCAGTGAATCCTGTCATCTATAATTTTATGAGTGGTAAGAAATCGCGAATATTGACACGTCGCTTTTAATGCACAATGCCCAACGTTACGGTCTGTATTCAGAATGCGCTTTTACGATGTTAGCACGTATTTAACATGTAGTTCATGTTACATATACTATAGAGTTGCAAACATAAAAGCGCATATTTATCGATAAAAGAGCATTCTGAATACGAGTTTACGTCTCTCGAATGCCGTCATGTTGAAAAAAATCTCCGATCCAGTCGGATTTATTCTGGAATATTCCGCGTATATGGATATATGCGGTAACATTTTCCGGATACGGAGTTCCGTATACAAGATTACCGAATGTACGAAGTGACTTCTATTAAAATGCATGACACGTCCGAGGTACGCAATATTCCTCTACTGTTGTTGCTGCTTATTCACAGCGCGAAACTGGTCTGTTCTTCACGCTGAATTAACTCCCGCGGCAACGGCTGCCAAAATTTTCATTTCACTTTTTTTTTGTTTTCGTAAAAAGATTAAGACGATTCCGGCCGGATTTTAAATGAACTTGCGCAAATCATAACGAACGCAACGTGAAAACGAGTTTTCTCAATGCTTTATCAAACAGAAGTATCTTGAAAATCAAATTTTTAAATTAATCACAATCAACAAATTTGAATCTTTTAATGAGAAAGAGGCTTTTTGGAAAAAGGCCAAATATTTCTAATATTTCTATTTCTAGTTTATTAATTATTTTTTGGAGGCGAAAAATAATTTAAAAAAATTATGTAATTTTTTTCTCTGCAGTTATAAAGCTTGACATTTTATTCCCAATTTCGAAGATTAATTTACGATTTAATTTTACTTACATTAAGCTTATTATCATCTTAACTAAATTCGAAGATTATATTAATCCTTTATCTGTATCAGACAGATCCATTAAATCTGTATACGTTTCAGCGAGAATATGTGTGCAAAACTGATTAAAACGTTATCGTAATTTACATGTTGTATGCGCGAAGTATCGTGCAATCATTGTACCATATTTTAATAGCATCTCCTGGAGATTAATTAAAGTAGATGATCCTGACATAAACCTGTTGAAATCTATAAGCTATGCGCATATCAACTTGTCATGTGCCATTTTCATGTCACAATAATTTCTACTCAACTGATTGTCATGTCACAATAATTAATAGTAATAATCATAAATTATCTATCAATAATCACTTATAATTAATTCATTATTCGAAGGCAATCAAACATCAAATATTTTTATTGAAAATATAAAAATAATATTTAAATAAAATATGAAATTGTTTTAGTAAATCGTGCCTGGGAATCGATCATTTTTGTCACGTCTCACTTTGTCACTCTTCATTTTTTTATATTTACAATACGATATATCACGATATATTAATATTTGTCTCTTATATTTTTATATAAATCTAACATTAGTATTTTAAAACATTTCAAAATATTAAATATTGTATGATTGATATTCTTGCAAAATTAACTTTATAAAATAAACATTAAATTTAAAATATGATTTGCTAAATATTGTACAAAAACAAAATTTAATTTTTTTTTTATCAAAATGCATTTTTTCTACTTTCAAATTTTATGTTATAAAATAAATTCCCGTATTTTAGATTCTAGAAACAAAATTAAATACTATTGTAAGTACTATTTCCATTATTTACAATGAATAATTAATTTACATCGATTAACCTTTATTTCCCTTAAGAAACGAAAATACTAGAAAAAATTGTTTCGTCACGAAATCGCGATTCTGTGGATGACATTGCGTCTTTTACACCTCTTTCCTGGAGAGTCTGGATAACTCTGACGCTTCGTTGGCCGCCTCTTAAATTTCTGGCTCTTCTAGCCCTGTTTGAGGAAATCAGTTTTTTCTTTATACTGCTTCCCAAAAGATGAGATTGGGATTGTTCCATCGAGAAGAATGTAAACATTCGCATATAATCTGTGAACGATCACAATCTCCTCGCTGAAACAATTCGACGAGGTTTTCTACGGATTGCTTTCCAATTATAAGTCGCGGATTTCGGTTTTGTCCAATCTCGCAAGGCGATAATTCGATCCACTTCGTATCTTTGTAAGGGTCTCCCATTTCGTATATTAATCCCTTACAAATCGAGCTCTAGAAAATCTTTTTCTTGTTCATTCATATCGTATTTGAAGCTCGTTTCCGCACCTAGATTCCAATTATAGTTTCGTTCTTTGGAAGAAAGCCTTCCGTTTTCGCGTCATTGTACCATCAATTTTTTTCGCAATTCGGTTAATTTTTTAAATTACAGATTCGTTCATAGTTCAGTGACGATATTATACATTAATGTAATAAAGAAAAGTACTGATACAATAGTATTATAAACAAAAAGATTCATGAAATAAAAAATGCTAAATTAGTTACTCGCTGTAACGTCTAAAATTCAATATGTACATTCAACAAGAGGTAACATAAAATCCGGAATAACAGAACATTTTTCGCGCAATTGATATTGCTACCAGAAAGATCTCATGTTTTTCAATATACGTCTTTGTTTTAGTTTGTTTCAATGTAATGTGTTTGTCTCGTTATTATATTGTCAATACCATATAAAATTTCTTTCTGACATGATAAAAAAAAATAAAAACTATGTTAATATACCAAGTACTTTAATATAACTGAAATAATTCTTGCTCTATAAACAAATTTTCTTAAAATATTCTTCTGTTTTGTAAAAAAAAATATTTATTGGACATTGTTTATTTTATTTTAAATAATAAAAAATTATTAATAAATATGAATGGACAGATTAGGAAAAATTAGAATAAAATTGGTGCATATGATATAAAACTTAATATTTATTAATAATCGTTAGCATATTATTTCTTTTTTCAAATAAACTATATACTGTTTATAATACTATGTTCAAAAAATATGTGTAAATTAAAAATAGAATATAAAAATATTATCTATCTTTTTATTCATACTTTAATAATATATAGAAAAGATTCTCTCTCTCTCTCTCTCTTGGAGAAAGATTCTTCTTCATTTTTTATAACATTTTTCTTTGCAAAAAAATATAGAAAAACAAAATATAGAAAGACAAACTTTGAAAGTTATTAAAAATTCCGAAAAAAAAAGAAGAATTGAAACAACGTATCTAAAATGAACAATGTTTCCCTACCGTATTTTATAAAATTAATCTTTATTGTAAAACATAAAAAATAATTAAAATAATTATAATTATTATAATTAGTTTTATGTTCTAAAAAAAATGTCGGATAATTTTACTTATTATAATTTTTCTTTTTTCTCTTTTTTACTTTTTATTTTTTTCAATCAAAAAAATTTGTTAAATCTGTAGTATAAAATTAACTTAATACAAATCGCCACTGCTCCTAGTAAATATATCATTATTTTTTATTAAAACGATAATTAAATTTGACACTATATCGTGTCATTTTACATAGTGTCAAATGTAACCATTGTTTTAGCATAAAATAACAATATGATTGAGTAGAAGCAGTGGCGACTCACATTAAATTAAATTTAACAGAATATAGATTTAACAGAGAATGTTTTCATAAATAATCGTAATATAATCAAACAAAAAAATATGTGACATTATTTAAAATAGTCTAAATAACATTATTAATATCTATATCATATCTGTAGTGTTCTTAATTATCATTTTCATTTTTTTGCAAACCTTTTCTTATAAATAGAATATTTAATATACATATATCTTTATTGGATTTAAAGATAATGTTTTGCAAAAATCTCCCTCACTCAAATCGACAATAAATCGACGATTAGCAAATTATGCATATTCCATACTTAATATTAATTATAATTTGTTCATCCATTTTAAAGCAATAGAGAGATGTTCCATCTATCAATAATATTCTTTTTTTCTTTCTTTTTTTTAATATTTTTAATTTTTTCAAAAATGATAACCATGAAAAATTTATCGTGAATTCAAACTATTTATATAAATAAATAACAATATTCACTGATTTATTCAAAATTAAAATAAATTTCAAAGCAAGATAAAAAGTTATCTATTATTTTATGCAGTAGCGGAGTTGCGTTCATATTTTAATATTAATGTGACATTTATGTAAAAAAATAAGAAAGATACATTATATTAATAGATGGTGTTATATAAAAAATTGAGAATAGCAGATATAGAGATGTGATAAAAATGATCGATTCTCTGGTTTATTAAAATATCATTTTAGATCTTATTTAAATATTGTTTTTATATTCACAATAAGAATATTCACTAGTAATTACATTAATTTGTAATATATATTCTTATGTTCCTAGCTCATTATATGTTTTAGTATAATTTTCACAAACTAAATTACTTCAATTAAAAAGTTGATTCTTTACTCACGAATATGATGCGCAACAGCGAAGTTAACAGCAAAATTAATCTATAACACATAAATATAAGAAAAAATTTAAAAGTATTCAAAATAATTAACATTCTTAAAAAAAAATAATTATTTTGCTTGTTAAATTTTATATATTCACATTTTTTAAAAATATTTAAAATAATTATATAATTTTTTAATCTTTTTATCATTAAGCATATTTCATAATTTTGCAAATAAAAGTCTCTTTGTTTTATAATTTTCATTTAAATCTAAAAAAGATAAAAAAAATAATAAAGAATGCTATACAATTAAAATAGTACATATATAAAAAAGAAATAACTCACCTCAAGGTTGCTCCGCCGTCACCCGATGCCTCCTAGACCTCCTCTTCACAGGTTGTCAGAGTTCGTTGCACTCATTCACAACACCTGCATGAACACAATTAATTTTTATTGCACTCCTAATTTTTATTTCACGCACGCTTATATTGCGAAAAAATGATTGCAAAAATCGTATGATCGCGTAAAACTACAAACATTCGATATTCGTAACGTCTCACAAATTAATACAATAAACGAATTTCGTACCGCAGAGGGAATTCGCGAAAATTAGCGCGCGGTCAATTTTCAGCGATGTACCTGTTGCTCCTATCCATTT